TTAAGTGGGTTTTGTGATTTACATCTGGTAACACTGCTTTCAACACGTCATGAATAATTATATACAACATGCCTTCCATGTATAGAGTTCAGTGGTATTTCTATTTTACAGTCAAGTTTCCTGGGATCGACAGAAGAGTTAGTTGTATGCAACTATGTAACAAACGTTCTAATTTGAAAATTATCTACAATTTCCAAAAAACCTCATGTAAACATAGATATTAAAGAATATATAGGCCATTTGTGCTAATCATACGGGAACGAACATGAAAAAATGTGGTAAGTATTAGAGGTCTTAACACAAATATATATATATATATAATTATTGTATATAATTTATGATAAGACCTCTGCCAGAATGAGATACAATCATAAAAAACAGTCTTTCTATCTTCCCTATTCCGGCACACGACCCTCTATTTTATTAATATATCCATGGTCTATACTCTATCCATTCTTTAATATCTATGCATGTAAATCGAGTCTGTAATGAAAATTAAAAAAATTAAGAAAATATTATAAAATAACATGCAATCTAAAGTACCTAACTGGCTATAAAGATTGCTCCTTAAATCTTGCATTGTTTTATTAACGGCTTCAATAGTTTGTTCGCCATAGTACATATATCCCACATAACAAAGACGCGAAACGATAAGGATACTGTAATGACGTACAAAAATAAGACTCCTATCGATAGTGATATTAAAATCGGATGTTAAAATAATAAAATTACGCTATTGGGTGCAGGAGTTCGGAGGGCTGGCGAGATTGTGTATCCGAGATTTGATCAAACACACCTTACAATATAATTGTAGGCAAAATTTAAATACACATATGATTTAATATCCGCGATCAATATAAAATATTATATTAAATGAATTACCTGATTCGCAGTTGTTTGTGGGTGTAGTAGGTTTTGAAGGTGACACAAAGTAATACCAAAATGCAATTTAAAATACACAAATCGAAATAATGAACAGCCAACAGGTAGACAAAGAGTCAAGATATCCCTCGACGCTCGTAAACGTTGGTAACGTTCCGTGATGACATTCCTTGGGACAAAAAAATTTGATTTTAACATTCACCATATAATATTCATAGACATGATAAATTATGTCTATGACAATATTATACAACTTTATAAATTAATATACTATATATCACAATATTAAAATTAGTAAATACTTAATGCAATGTTAAATGGGTAAATAAAATAAAATAATAAAAATATATATATTTGTATTCATCATTTTGTATATTTAACTAATGCTACTTTTAAATGAGCTATCAACTAATATTTGTTTATCAAGTATAAAGCTTTGTAGTGAATTAACAATTGAAGATAAAGTTCTGGAAATCTTCACTGCTCTTATCCTAGCCAATGTGAAAAGACCCCAAACAACAAAATCCGTTTTAAAGTTACAGAGATCTATCTTGCTAAATGAAAATCCAGCAAAAAAATAACAATTTTTTTAACTGTAAATAATTAAATATTTTTTTTTTTTTTAAATGTTTAATTACACATTTGTGCCTACTTGATAATCCCTTTTTAATGAGCTATCAACCAACTTTCTATCTATCATAGATTAGAAGAAAAGTTGAAAAATAGGAATTTTGGGACTATTCACGCCGACGTTTTTATGGATTCAAATTGTTATACCACTTGGGTGTGATATCGGATCTCTCTCATTAATATTTTAAATTGAAGCTAGCTTAATTAACCACTTACAAATTATTGTTTCATTTTTATTATTTTCCATTTTAACACAAATTCTTGAAGTTTTCAAAATCCAGACTTTTTTCATTTCAATTACGATATTTACTTGATTAAAAATCAAGAAAGTAAAAAACTTCTTATGATTCAATATTTTTGTACATACTAACTTCAATTTAAAAAAAAAAAATAGCATTTTAATTCTTAAGTTTTAAGACATTTAATAGTATGAATACACAGGCCTTCATAGGACAAGAAGCATTCTCTTGTGACTATAAAACTGTGGTAATATTTTCAATCAAGACTGAATACGTATACACCTTATCAATACACCTTGGGGCCAATTTCATAATTCGTGTTTGCATAATAAAGATCATACCTTTTTGTCGGTGAAAACGGTTTTATTGGGGATGGCCGATTTCTACAAACAAAAGTCTGGGCGTTATTGACTATTCTGTACAATTTTAATTTATGACTATAGTACTGAGTGTGGAAATCAATTTAAGTTCTTAAAAAATCTTTGAGCTCATATTAAAAAAGGTGGATAAGCTGAATGTAGCTCTGCTGTACAGTAGGTTACAAGTGGGTCACTGTATAATGGATGGTATTAAATTTGAATTCAATGATAGAATACCATTGTATAAGAAAAACGATTCTGAGCGAAGACGGTACGTCAGTCTAGGTTTAAGACATATTATATACATATCTATGGTATTAAAAAAAGAATTGACCTATAATAAATCCAAATTAATCATATCACAATATCCATTAGGTACTTATGACGCGTATACATCAACAACAAACCCTGATACCATCATAGATATAGAATAGTGTAATTTAGAAGTTTCAAGTACCCACGAATAGTAATATACACTCACAACAAAATAACTAAAATAGGTATGCTAGGTTTTTTAATATGTTATTTGGTCCCAAATTTAAGCTTAAAATAACCATAAAAATAAACTGTGCTTGTGTATTTTTTAGATTTTTTGGTAACAGAATTAACTACTTACGTGGAATCTTGTTTTAAATTTTCAATCCTTAGCTATAAAAATTGAACATTTTATAATTTATTAATTACGATGATTGATAATGTTCGAGATTTTGAAAAATTCTGTAAAAATTCGATCTTTAAATGCTTATAAAAAAAAATTGTGCCAATGTATTTTTAATATTTTTCATTTGCTATTGTAACAATATATCAGGAGCCTTGTATTAAATGTTTACACTTTTTGGCCCAACAGATAAAACTGTATTGATATTTATAGAAAAAAAAACTAAAAAAATTAAAAACTGAAAAGTCCGTAGACAGCTCAAAAAAAGTCAAAATATTTTCAAAATTGTATGGTGTATAGGAAATGCTAATATAAACATTCAGTGAAATTTTCATGTATCTATAGTTATTCGTTTATGAATTACAGCAAAATAAGGAAATAGCTACAAGAGAAATCGAGTGAATATCCAATGTTGTAAAAATTTGAATTTCAAACGCTCATAAAAATTTAATTTGACTGTCCGGTAGAGATTTTTTTATTGATGAAGGTAGACAAACTTATGAGTAATCTTGTATTACATTTTCAAATCTTAGATTTAAAAAGAAAAAAAATTTTTACGAATTCTTACCTCAAAATAATTTGCTATTTTCCGTGATTTTTCCATATTTTGTCAATTTTTGAACTTAAATGCTTATAAAAAAAAACTGTGACTAAGGATTTATAATTTTTTTCATCTGCCTTTGAAACAATATACTAGGAGCCTTCTATTAAATTGTCAAGCTTTTTTAACCAAAAATACAATTTGTTGATTTTATTAAAAAAAAAAATGGAAACTGAAAATGTCCGTAAAGAGCTCAAAATAAGTCAAAATATTTGGAAAATGTTATGGTGTATAGAAAATGCTAATATAAACATTCAGTCAAAATTTCATGTACCTGCGGTCATTTGTTTAAGAGTTGCATGAAAACCCAAAATCGAATTTCTCCAAAACAGATTTTCCGTAAAAATTCCCGTTTTTCCTTAATTTGTATGTTGTTTTTCTCGGTGCTTGTGAAAACTTTTGGGAAATTTAAATTTTGACCTCCCCAATGCACCAACGATATTCACTTTGGAATCGAAAAAGATACTGAAGTTGAAAATCGAAGCATTATTTCGACTACTAATCGTGTACACAGACACTAAAATAAAAAAAAAATATAAAAACACACATCATTGTAAAATCAATACATTCATCGTTCCACTCAGAATCTAAAAAACATCCCTTAACTCATATTGACAGTATAGCACCAACCAAAAAATAAAAACAAGGATTTATATGTGTTCTCCTGTAATCAATGCGACAAATCATTTTGCCATATCAAAAATCTCAATGAACATAAATTTAAATAATTTTAATTTGAAGAATCATTTCATAGAAAGTCTTGTATTCGAAAATATTGAAAAATTTAATTTTTAGAAAAATGAAATGGAACATAAAACCAAATCATGTTACATAAAAAATTGAGGATATATTGATAATGATCATAGTAATAAAACATTTATACTCTATAAATGCCTTAGGAATGGAAATTATATTTCAAAAGGTACAGGTCTGAGGCATTTAAAACACAAGGTTCAAATAAAATTAATGGATACTGTATTGATGTTACTATATGTAAATTGAGTAAAAAATCTACAGTTAAGCTTATAGCAAATCATACCGACCATGATAATGATTAAGGGCATTTACCATTAAATAAGGAAGTTCGAGATAACATAGCAAGTAAGATGTCTCAGAATATACCTTTGAACCTCTTTTAGGTGAAATTTGTGATAATATTTCAAATAATTCTTTAGAAAGAATACATATCTTAACAAAGAAAGATTTACATAATATTCAAACATCTTATAATCTAAATAATAAAGATATATTACAAACAAATTATGCAAGTGTTGAAAGTTGGGTTCAAAATTTAAAAAAAAAAAGATGACAAATTTAGCCTTATATACTATAAGCAACAAGATGAGTAAAATCAACAATTTTCAATCTTAAAATAAGATGATTTCTTGTTAATTATAATGAATAATTATCAACAGTCTATATTTGAAAAATATGGACAAGATGTAATTTGTATAGATGAAACTCATGGTATGAATTCCTATCACTTTAATTTAACAAACACTCTTAGTACTTGACGATATGAGAGAAGGTTTTCCATATGCCTATTCTAAAAAAAAATTATTACCAAATTGCAGTCCGATGTATTCATGTCCGATATGGCTGAAAGTATTTTCAATACATAGTTTGTTGAAATGAAACGTCCAAAACATAAATTATACTACACTTGGCAAGCTGATTGTACCTGGAGAAAAAATTTAGTTCAAATCAAATCTAAAGATAAGCAATATGAAACATACAAACTTTTGACGACATTACTTCATGAACAAAATCCAAAAGTCTTTGATATAATTTTTGAAGAAGCCATAAACCAATTGTTGGCCAATTATGACACTGTTAATTTTGCTAATTATTTTGTTAATAGTTATGGTAGAATCTTGGGCTTACTGTCATCGTCTTCATGCAGGAATAAATACTAATATGCATAACGAAAGAATGCACCGGACTCTGAAACATATTTATTTAAATTTGTAAAAAAGTTAAACGACTTGATCATTCTATACATGCATTATTGAAATTTCTTAGGAACAAATCTATAGACAGACTTATAGTACTTCATAAAGGAAAACTTACTTCTAAAATTAAAGAATTAAGAAAAAGGCACAAAAATAGGAAAACAACAATAAAAAAAACGAGACTGTTAGAATTGTATCTTAACTGAATAATACAGAAGTAATACATTAAGTAGATAATTTAGAACATGAAAAACAAAAATTTAAAAACATATTTGATACAATGTTACATACTGTTTCAAGTTTAGAAGAATTTGATGTATTGAAGAAATGTTTGTCGTCTGCACAACCTATATTATTAGTATTAAGAAATAATATTAATAAAAAGCCTTTTACAAAAATCTCATAAAATATTTTACCAAAAAATAAAAAAATTATACATCAGCGCCTATTAATACTACTAAAAAGACAAAAAAAACACACAAAAACTTCAACTATTTTAGTACCCAACAAAATCGAAAAGAATAATATAAATGAATCCTTATTGTGATTATATTAATGTGATATATATATTCCTTATTATGAACGAAAGAAAATAAGACACCTAAGATAAGTGTTAAATTTTAAAATTGGTAAATGCTTATTTATGCATAGCAAATTTATAAACCATTACATTTGTTTTATTTAAATTAAATTATTTTACTTAATTATTATTTATTATTATTATGACAATTAATGTAAACCCAACTATATTATACTTACCAATTTGAATATTAACATTTTATTATAACTATTTAGCTCTATCTATACAAGAAATTGTTTGTTGTGTATTATGTCATGTATTATGTATACCTATTATTTTCTAATTATTATTGAAGTAAAACTTCTTTCTTAAGGTTTGGTTGGAAAAATAATTGTAACAAAAAATGTAACGACACGTTTGTTTATTTATTTATTTTGCAAGTTATGCACGGCGGCGGCGGCGGCATGCACGTTTATTTTTATTGTATTGATTTTTCTCACCCTCACCCTAATTCACTTATAATTTCAAGGGCCCCAATACTTATGAAAGAAGTTTTACTTCTCCAGAGTGTAATGGTGGGTTCACACACTCGTTTTTTTTATTTATTATTATTATTATTATTGCAGTTAAGGGGATTCGATACCGTGATTTTCTGTTTTTGTCTAACACATGCGCGACATAGTATTTTAGACGTGTTTTTTTCCAAACATACCAATTGATGTAATGAAGCGATAAGAATTCTGAAAACAGATTTGAATTAGTAGTCAAGTCTACTTGAAATTGACTTTCCCACATTTTTGATATTATCCCCCAAATTTTAAAAAATTTCATATTCAAAAAGAAAATTTAAAAGTTCTGTATTTCAATTTTTGGAGAAGTTGAAATCAAAAAAAAAAAATGTGGGAAAGTCGATTTCAAGTAGACTTGATGACAAATTCAAATCTGTTTTCAGAAATCTTATCGCTTCAATAGATCAATTGTAATGTTTAGCAAAAAACACGTCTAAAATATTATGTCGCTCGTGTGTTAGACAAAAACAGAAAATCACTGTATCGAATAGGTACCCTTAATGTGAAACTAACTATATTATTATACTTACCAATTTGAATATTTAAATTTTATTATAACTATTTACTTGTATCTATACAAGAAATTGTGCACCAATTTCATATTGTAATTGAACATTTGAATTACTAATAATTATTTTTATGAACTACCTATGAATGTTTGTTAATATTTTTTTATATTTAAATATTTAATATTTAATAATCTCTTGAGATAATATCACATAATAAAAGTATTCTGTGATAATACTGATAAATTTTTGTGAAGATAAGGGATACGATTGATAAGAATATAGGGCCTCCATCTTGTAGCCATTCGGCGTTTTCTGTCTCTAGATTCTTGTACATTTTACTACTTTGTTACTTTCCTCGCTGACTCTATATCATACCCCTGACTTCTCTCTCTAAGCGATGTCCATTAGTTAATAGGTGCCCTATGGTACTAAGTAGGTAGTGTAAATTATTTGATTCAAATCTCTTTAGTATTCAATATTAAGTAGGTACCTACCTACATACCTAAACCTGTTGAGACTATTGAACTCTAAACTATGCGTATTTACCTAATTTAAATGATTTTTGAAATTGCACCTCTATGCCCAAAAACTAATTATTATTATTATAATAGCTTCAAAACCCATGTGCAACCAAAGGACACACAGACAGACGGACAAACATTCATTTTTATATATATAGATTAGTTCGTAGAATATAGAAAATATTATTAGAAAAAAAAGATATATTTACGAAGAATTAGGTACTGATGAATAATATTATAGGGGTAACACTGTAACATAATATTTACCTATTTAGTTGCCCGTATAATCGATAATCTTGAATTTTGACCATTATGTTATATACTTGGTGTATATGCAAAAAAAAAAAAGGTGGGCAAGTGGGTGTCGCTCTGCTGTACAGTAGGTTACAAGTGGGTCACTGTATAATGGATGATATTAAATTTGAATTCAACGATATAATATCATTGTATAAGAAAAACGATTCTGAGCGGAGACGGTATGTCAGTCTAGGTATAAGACATTTTATATAGGTACATATCTATGGCACTAAACCAAAATTTGACCTATAATAGGTACCTATAATAAATTCCAAATTAATCATATCACAATATCCATTAGGTACTTATGACGCGTTATACATCAACAACAAACCCTGATACCATCATAGATATAGAATAGTGTACTTTAGAAGTTTCACGAATAATATTATACAATCACAACAAAATAACTAAAATAGTTATTCTAGGTTTTTTATATGTAATTTCGTCAAAATTTGAATTTAAAATCTCTGTAAAAAATAACTGTGTTCATATATTTTTTAGATGTTTTGGTTACAGTATGAACTATTTATGAGAACCTTTGTTTTAAATTTGAAATCCTTAGCTATAAAAACTGAACATTTTATAATTTATTAATTACAATGATTGATAATTTTCGAGATTTTGATAAATTTTGTCAAAATTCGATCTTTAAATGCCTATAAAAAAAAACTGTGCCTATATATTTTTAATATTTTTCAACTTATATTGTAACAATATATCAGGAGCCTTGTATTAAATTTTTACACTTTTTGGCCCAACAAATAAAACTTTATTGATATTTATAGAAAAAAAAATTAAAAAAAATTGAAAGTGGTAAATGTCTGTAAATAGCTCAAAAAGAGTCAAAATATTTTCAAAATTGTATGGTGTATAGGAAATGCTAATTTAAACATTCAGTGAAATTTTCATGTATCTATAGTTGTTCGTTTTTTAATTACAACAAAATAAGGAATCAGCTACAAGAGAAATCGAGTGAATATCCAATGTTGTAAAAATTTGAATTTCAAACGCTCATAAAAATTTAATTTGACTTTCTTATAGGTATTTTTTTTTTTTTTTTTGATAAAGGTGGATAATCTTATAAGGAATCTTGTATTACATTTTAAAATCTTAGATTTAAAAAGAAAAATTTTTACGAATTCTTAACTAAAAATAATTTGCTAATTTTCGTGATTATTCCATATTTTGTCAATTTTTGAACTTAAAATGCTTATAAAAAAAAACTGTGACTAAGGATTTATAATATTTTTCATCTGCCTTTTAAACAATATACTAGGAGCCTTCTATTAAATTTTCAAGCTTTTGTAACCAACAAATAAAATTGTATTGATATTTTTAGAAAAAAAACTAAAAAAAGATGGAAAATGAAAATGTCCCTAAACAGTTCAAAATAAATCAAAATATTTTGAAAATGTTATCGTGTATATAAAATGCAAATATAAACAACCAGTGAAAATTTCATGTATATGCGTTCATTTGCTTTAGAGTTACACCAAAAACCAAAATCGATTTTTTGGAAAACCGATTTGGCGTAAAAATTCCCGATTTTCCTTAATTTTTATGTTGTTTTTCCGCTGTTTAACGCTTGTGAAATTAAATCAACTTAACTTTTTAATCGAAGTTAAATTAAGTCAACAGTATTTGTTACCTTAATTTAAACTTAATTTATGTATTAAAAATGTCTATTATCTAAAATTGTAATTTAATTGAAAAACAATAAGTAGGTACTTAACTTAACTGAGTTAAAAAAATATCATTAACTAGCCCAGCCTTGCATACACACACGTGTATTAAAAATATATATAAAAAAAACAACAAAATGTCATTAATTTTTTTTTTCGTTTTGAACTGGCAGCGTCTGCAGAGGAATGTTTGCACAATACTACTCCTCTGCTGCCATCGTTTATTGGTGAATAACAATTATCATTGTCATTTATTTGTAATTAAAACAAAATGTAAAACATTCAATTTACAAATTCATTTTTTGCTTCTGTATAAATTTAGTTTAATAGCAGGGCTTACCAGTTACCACCATAATCATTTATTTGGGTTTCGGGTTTGGGTGTTGAATGTATTTGGGTGTTCAAACACCGGAATAAAAAATTTAAACAAACATTCAGGTTTTAATAAACGTTATTATTCCGGTTAACATTGGTAATATGGATGTTCAGTATCTAGTCTAGAACAGCATTTCCCAAACCATTGGTCGCGAAATGTTTTTGATGGGTCGTGACTCGCGGTTACGATTACGGTTATTTTAGCCGTAAATTGATACCTCTATAATATTATTGCATAATAATAATGTGAAGTCCAACTAGTATTGTAGAATGCATTCATCGATTTTACATTGGATATCAACAGAAGACTGTAAAGTACTTGAGTAAAGTATTGAGTAAGTATTCAAATACTTTTTAAGTAGGTACCTACTCAAATACGTATTCTAAATACATTTGAAAAAAGTACTTGGGCACAGTATTTTAATACTTTTTTGAGAGTATCTATATTTAAAATCAAATACTATTTTTAAATACTTTTTTCGTCTTACTTTATCTTAAATAATTGAGGCCAAAATTAAATTAAATAATACAAATTTGAAATTGTACAACATTTTTATTTATAGATCGGTCATCGTTGTATTTTGGTATATTGTAATATTTTTAGTGGTCTATAATTGTATTGAATGTACACAGTCCGTCGATTTCCTAATAAAATTTCACTATTTGAAATACCTTTACTTTGATCATTATGTAATATGTATATTATATAAATCATAACGATAGTCGATAGTTAATTAGTTAATATATTACACCTATACATTATACACGCTACCCGCATTCGGTTATTCCTGGTAATCCATTCTTGCATTATGGCAGAATATGATTGAATACAATTTTACATTTGTAACAGTTTTAAGGGGCCTCACTACTGCTGTCAATTTTAACTGAAAAGTGTAAAGTATTGAGAAAATTAAAGTTAGTAACCGTTGTTCGATTTTGATTCTGAAAAAAAATTTTAACTCGGCAGAAAATTGTCTATAGATCATTAGATCCTACGAAGGACTTTGTAAAAACTAAATTTTATATTATTGTGAACTGTAATTGGAAATTTGAAAATATCAACTTTTCGAATCATAATTAATATTAAAAACTGAAAATGTTTCGTATGATCTACAGACATTTTTCTATTGAATTCAAATATTTTTTCAGAATCAAAATCAGACAACGTTAATTAACATTAATTTTGTCAAAACAAATGTATGTTTTTGTAATATTAATGTAATGAAATTGATATGGTTATTGCGTTATTGACATGTGCATGCGCTTACGAGAAAAGATACCAGAATTTAATTTTACACACACGACACACTAATAATCATTTACAGCTAACACATAGATCCCGGATGGCTATGACAAGATTAGAAATTGTCTAAATTTTGCCCCTTAAATAATGACCGAAGCGAGGCCCCTTAATGGTTTTTGTTCTAATTTGGTAAGTGACTAGGGTTGCCACCTCTCCGGGTTTTACCCGGAGAATCCTTGTTTACGTATGAATATACGGGCTCCGGGTTCAGTGAATTATTCTCCGGGTTGGAGATAAAGATAACATAACATACGATTTTTTATTATTATGACTTTTTTTTTTTATTAGTTTCCGCCTTCCGGTATAAAAACCATTTATTCAAGATAACAAGAATAATAAGATTATGAACTACGGTTTATGACTTTATGAGTCTCTACGATTACGATTTTACGAATCAGTTTCAACATCACAGTCGAGTGTGTTGTTTGATCGAATCCGAATATCTGCTTTTAATTTTTGTGTCAGTGTAACCATGCATCGATATTATAAAACTACACAGAATTTGAAAAGTAATTCATTAATGACCACATTTATGACTAAACGACTAAACGACCGCTGCTTTCTTTCAAAGGTGGCAACTCTATAAGTGACATAAGATATTTAGAACCTCTGAGTTTGTTTATACAGTCGCACACTCGCGACAATGCAACTCACACGCATCATTATTTTGATATACAATTGCATACCACCCCCCGATTAAAGTAAACTTGCTGCCGACATGGGCAAGAAGGGACACTTGCCCCCCCCCACCAAATACGGGCCTCCTTAAATACATTGGAAATGTTTTATGTTGTTCGTTTTATTCTAACGGACATCTTGTAATATAAAATTATCAAAACCTTTTAGATTAATATTTGCTCTTTATCATATTGTAATATTATATTTTCATTTAATATCTCAATTTTGATCCGTTGTCGAAAGGCCGCAACGATCTTTATCTTAATTTTTCCCTCTGCTCGGGCATTTCGATCCGGCGCATGAATTTCATGATCTTCTTGAAACGTCTGAAGCACGCGTCATAAACGTTGATGAGCATTTCTATCTGATCCGGTGTGCCGGTGGTGTGGTTCACGTCAATCACCAAAAATGTCAGCTTACCGGCCAGATGCTTCGCTTCGGCAGCGGTGGCCCTCAATCTGAAATAAAATTTAATTTTAATAAGTTCCTAGGCGTTAATAACGTATTTCCTAATTTGTTTTTTTCAGTAGGCTGTGTGGGGGGGGATTATTTTGTAAACTTCATTAACTTCAAACTTTTATCTGATGTTTTGTTTATCGAGTATAAATGTTAAAAAGGGAGACTAAAATATTTATCTATGTTATATATAAAAAAAAAGTTGCTCTGCTGTACAGTAGGTTACAAGTGGGTCACTGTATAATGGATGGTATTAAATTTGAATTCAATGATATAATAGCATTGTATAAGAAAAACGATTATGATAGTGAAAACGGTCAGTCAGCCTATGATATGACTAAGTATATTTGATGATATTATTGTGAATAAAGTAATTTATATATAACCTATTTATGGAACCTTGTTTTAAATTTTTAATCCTTAGCTATTACTGGTCAGGTGGCACTGCTGGGAGCCTTCCTATTAATGTTATTATTTTACGTCAAATGTTCAACACACTTACTTATTATACCTTATTGTATAGATTGTAAATATTCTTTTAAAAATAAAAAAATAAATAAAAAGTATTAAATCCTTAGCTATAGCTAAGTTGAAAAAGTTGAACATTTTTAACTACAAAATTTGAACTTGAAATGCTTATAAAAAAAATTGTGCCTATGTATTTTCAATATTTTTCAACTGCTATTGTAGCAATATATATCAGGAGCCTTGCATTAAATGTTTACGCTTTATTACCCAACAAATAAAATTTTATTGATATTTAAAGAAAAAAATTAAAAAAAATGGAAACTGAAAATGTCCGTAAACAGCTCAAAAAGATTCAAATTATTTTCAAATAACTAAGTTAAGTTACAATTATTTATTTATGAATTTATATTGTGTTTTTTTTAAATTATAGTTGAGTTAAAAGTTATCTGAAAGTAACTTATACCTAAGTCATAACTTTTCATTATTTTAACTAGTAATTCCAGACGTAGTTTCATTGTATTTTGTCCACAAAGTAATATAATTACTATTTACTAATAAGTAATAATGTCACAAACTCACAACTCTCAAGTAATTTGGTCCTCCAATAGTTTCCCTATAATATTTTAGGGACATTTTATCTTTTATAAAAATAATGTGAATAATTTATGTTCATCCAGATTTTATGTCCATCGTGTGTATTATTTTATAAAAAATAATAGATAATAAATAAATAAAAACCAAATAATAACGATACATTTATATAATTAATTTGATAGTACAAGTAGGTAGGTAGGATATTGAATTGAGCCTAGGCGGCTAGGCATTTATAATTACTACATTATAGCTAAATAAGTTGAAATGCATATTTGTAATAAAACATATTTTGTTCACCTCAATTGGATTTCGGATCTTTGTACGGCATGGTCGGTTTTCTGCAGGCACCTTTCCAACAACTGACACGTCTCGAACACGTGTTTGACGAGCAGCGATACGCCGTACGCGATTTTATGTACAGGCACTATGACCTCGTGACACGGACAACAATGGTAACTGTTGCTGCAGCTACAATATGACTGTTCGTGTTGTATATAATATTACTAAATTAGCTATTATATTTTGCCACTTTATCTTTTATCGACATTTTACCGTGAGTGGGATGAAAGCGCTTTGAAAAAGTCACCCACTCACCCACATATTATAGGTATTGGGAGTCGTACCTAAATTTTCTTCAAAATCATTTCATGTGGGGATAGATCTACAAATAAAGTGGAGACTGGACAAAAAAATACTCATGTTATTCACCTATTAGTCATATAAATGTAAAGTAGCAGTAGGTACTCATCGAAGCTTAAAAAGTGATAAACCATTGACATCGAGAAAGAGAGAGACATTACACATTTACAACTATCCTGATCGAGAAAAAATAACAATATTTTTTTATCTATCCTTGTAATAATAATAATAATAATATAATAATAATGAGAATATAATTATTATTTGATAATACTCATTTTTAAATCGTATGGTGCGTTTTAACTGGTCTTGTAAGTTGATGAAAATGTATATAACAATATATAAGCAACTTGAAAAAATATGTATCTTATTTCTTGTCAGAAATACCTAAAAACCAAAAATTTTAATTATCTATTTAATATTAAAAACTAGGCAGAAGTTAATTTTATTTTAAAATCTCTTTTAGATCAAATTTTTATTCAATCTACTATTTAGTCAAAATTAACATATTTGATAATTAACTTACATCATTACACAAACATCAATAAATTTACAGAATTAGATAGTATTTGACAAAAACAATTTATTTAAAAACACTATAATTATTTATTATTTTACCTTTAATACATTTTACCATACATTTTTTTTCGTACGATATAAAAATTATCGAATTACCAATCGTGAAAATATTTTTAAAATAATTATTTTATTTTGACAACTTAAATATTATAATTTTTATATACATCATACTATATTATTTTATATTTTGATAACTTTAATATTTTAGATTCTGAGTGAAACGATGAATGTATTGATTTTACAATGATGTGTGTTTTTTCATTTTTTTTTTATCATCACCTTTTAGGATAGTAAAAGTGTATGGATTTTCTTCAACAGTATCTTTTCTGATAGGAAAGTGAATCTAGTTGGTACTTTGGGGAAGTCAAAAGTAAATATTTCCTAGTAGTTTTCAAAAGAAAAAACAAGAAAAATTAAGGAAAAACGGGAATTTTTATGTAAAATCAGCTGTTTTCGAGAAAATAAATTTTGGTATTTGGTGCAACTCTTAAACAAATTACCGTAGGTACATGCAATTTTGACTGAATGTTTATACTAGGATTTTCTATACACCATAACATTTTCCAAATATTTTGACTTATTTTGAGCTCTTTACGGACATTTTCAGTTTCCATTTTTTTTTTAGTTTTTTTTTTTTTTAATAAAATCAACAAATTTTATTTTTGGTTAAAAAAGCTTGACAATTTAATAGAAGGCTCCTAGTATATTGTTTCAAATACAGATGAAAAATATTGAAAATCCTGAGTAAAAGTTTTTTTTTCTAAGCATTTAATGTTCAAAAATTGACAAAATATGGAAAAATCACGAAAATTTGCAAATGGTTTCGAGTTAGAAATTCATAAAAATTTTTCTTTTTAAATCTAAGATATAAAAATGTAATACAAGATTCCTTATAAGATTTTCTACATTTATCAAAAATAAAATGTCTATAAAAAGTCAAATTAAATTTTTATGAGCATTTGAAATTCAAATTTTTACAACATTGGATATTCCCTCGATTTCTCATGTGGCGATTTCCTTATTTTGTTGTTATTTCAAAACGAATGACTGTAGATACATGAAAATTTCACTGAATGTTTATATTAGCATTTTCTATACACTATACAATTTCGAAAATATTTTGACACAATTTAAGCTGTTTACAGACATTTTCAGTTTCATTTTTTTTAGTTTTTTTTTCTAAAATATCAATAAAGTTTTATCTGTTGGGCCAAAAAGTGTAAACAATTAATACAAGGCTCCTGATATACTGTTACAATATCAGTTGAAAAATATTTAAAATACATAGACACAATTTTATTTTATAAGCATTCTAAGATCGAATTTTGACAAAATGTATATCAAATATAAAATTGAATAATTATTTTGTAGTTAAAAATTTATAAAATGTTCAACTTTTATATCTAAGGATTGAAAATTTAAAACAAGATTCCACGTTAGTAGTTAATTCTGTTACCAAAAAATCTAAAAACTACATTAGCACAGTTTATTTTTAAAGTCATTTTAAGTTCAAATTTGGACGAAATTACATATTAAAAACCTAGAATAACTATTTTAGTTATTTTGTTGTGGTTGTATAATATTATTCGTGGGAACTTGAAACTTCTAAAGTACACTATTATATATCTATGATAGTATCAGGGTTTGTTGTTGGTGTATAAGTACCTAACGGATATTGTGATAGTATGATTAATTTGGAATTCATTAAAGGTACCTATTATATGTCAATTTTTTTTAATACCATAGATAAGTATGTAATATGTTATATACCTAGACTGACATCAGACTGCTCAGAATCGTTTTTCTTATACAATTATATAATATCATTATATTCAAATTGAATACCATTCATTATACAGTGACCCACTCGTAACCTAATGTACAGCAGATCACTTTTTAGTATTATGTTTAACCCTTTTTATATATGAAGCGAATTGCAAACCTAATATACCCTATATAATGTTGACAACTAATTATATTTATATGTGTTATATAATAATTGTACAATATTGGTTAATGGCTGATAATTTTAATGTATTTAATGCATTTTTATAATTACCTATTAACTATTTAATATAATTGTAACAATATAGATGATATTTTTTATATTATACTGCACCATATTATATTTTTATCAAGTCATTAAACTTTATATTCACCAATTAATTAAGTAGCCCGCTATATGTAAGCGCTTAATCTTTTAAAAACCATCCAATTAAATTAAAGAATAAATTTAATTTGTCAAAAATTAATATAATCTATAATAACAACTAACAAGAGCAAAAAATTGTATGATAACGTTGCATTTAAAATTATGCGGAATCATGTATGTATATTAATGGCTAATAAAATCTACACGATTCTATAATCTATTTTTTAATCATGCTCACCCTCATTTTCATATTAATAGTGCATTTATGCAAATTTTGATTTTTAGAATTTTTAAGTAAGATTTCATATCTTCCAATTCTTGATATTTTTTGGATTTAAACTTCTATTTTTCAAATGAGAATCTCCCTTTTTTACTGTATATTATACAGTAAAATATGTATTTTTAAAACAAAATTAAAATTCGTAAAAATATTATAATAAATATAGTAAAATGTTTTATAAATATTATTTATAACTTTATAAGTATTTATTTTGAGACAATTTAATAACTCTTAAAATAATCTGAGAACCAATATAGCAAAGCCGGATTATACTTCTTAACAACCCGAAAGCCAATTCGGACGTTTCGGAACGAATTAGAATGTTCCGATTATTAATTCAGTCCTGTGTTTCTTCAGGTACCTAGTGGCCAGTACAGTAATATTTACCTACCAAATGCTCACAATCTATACGAATAATAAGATACATTTTGTTTCCCATTTTTACAGACTAAAAGTCAAGACTATCTGTTAGAAATTAGAATCATATCTTATATATAGTTTTATAAGAAAAAAAGTGCCCAAGCATATTATGATTTTGTCAAGGGCCGTGTCAAGGGGGTAGAAAATGGGAAAAGTGCCCTACGGTGGTAAAAGTTGTAACATTTTAAAGGGCGGCAAATTTTTAAATATGTATGTTTGGTATTGATGCCAATTGGCAAATAGTATTGCCCTGGGTACTGGGTAGCTAACAATAGTTAGCACAGGATTGTATTTTGTGACCAAATATGTGATTAGCCCTGTTATACAGAGTGATTCTTTTGTTATGAAGAAAACATTAATACTTTTTGAAATAATGAGTGTTTCATGATAACGGTTAAAAAAAGTTCTTGTCTTTTCAGATTCATTTTTATTATATTCAATTAAAAATTTAAATAATATTGTAAGTATACCAATATTTTTTATAATCGTACAAAAACAATAAATCACAAATACATTAATTTACCTAACCATTTAGTACCCACATGGCCATTCGTGTATACATCGAAGACTAGTAATGTATCACCCCAATATTATAGTGTGACACTTAGGTATGTAAACCTGTGACACAATTTAGTAGGCCAACATTTACACACGCGCAATGGGCCCACTTACACATCCACTTGATCCCAAAACTTAAGGGGCTCCTTATAGGTTACACGGTATACACTTAATCCGAAGTACACAAGTCCCCGGATCCCATATAAAATGGAGATGACTCATCACTAAGTTCACGCTTCTCTTTCAATTTTTTTGTGAATATTAGAGGTGTAATTGATGGGGACCATCACCCAACCACTTGAACTAACGACTGGACCTCACCATGAGTCTATAAATTACACCTGTAGCGAATTTAACTCAATCCGAGATACACTAGACTAAACTAGGTGCCGTGTCCAATACGCCATTATTACCGGTCCTTGCTTGAGGATAAAATTGATGGACCGGACCGGGCTGAAAATTTACGGCCCTTGCAGGTCTATAGTAGGTACATATACCTACAAGTGGCTACAACTATCGTGAAGGAGATTTTTCGTTATATTTTTTTTCAAAATGTTATATCGATAACTTATAAACGGTATAAACTATAAAATATTTATAATGTACATTGACAAGGTATATAATATGTATACAAAATAGTATAATATTATTAACTAATTAAAACGATTAAATAAAAATAATAAAATTACTGACGAATAATTAAAAATGTGCCACAATAAGATAGGTAGGTGTATGTCTAGAATTTGAACCGATCTGCAGTTTCGTTAGGTACATTATATAGAAAAGAGTGCTGTATCCCACAGTTGTAAGATAAAATAAGTTTTAAAAACGCTGTTGAATTATTATGAAGGTTGGATACCTTTAATTATTTCTGTGGTATGATTTTAATTCTCTTAAATGTATAAAAAGTTATGCACTATATTTCACTACATAATATATAAATTTAAATTTAATTTCTTGGTCCTCTTCGACACTGTATCTTAATATCATTTTAAATAAATGTGTTATACGATTTTTTTTTTTATTAAAACAGGAGCTACTAGATACTACTTCAAAGCATTTAAATTATCACTTTTTACTTTCTAAAAAACAACAGTCATGTATCAGATTGGAAAGTTATCATCGGTACCAACATTACGAAACTTGCAGCTTATAAGACTTTTAGACCTACAAGGGTATAGCACTATAGCCGTATATATGTATAACAAGTTTCACTTCCTCCGAGGGTACACCGGTAGCGCTGGTGTTAAAATAAATATACAGGCAATAAATAATAATGATTATTCAATCAACTCTTTTTATACTATAATAAAGTGTAAATATATATATAAATATACAGATTTATATATACAGTGTGATCACGACAAGTTGAAACACTCAATAACTATGTGCAGGCTTCATATATTTTAATTCTGCTTTTTTGGCTAACTATAATAAACATTATTATACACATTTTCAAATAATTAGACTAGACTATTTTTGCGACAGTTAATTTTGAGCATGCGCACAATAATTTTTTTTTTAATGACACGACATATCTTTGACCACAAATTATTTTTCCTTGTATTTTTTAATGAATTTTAGTGGTTGAATTTATTTTCTTAGTTAAATAATAGCTGAGTTATAGTCATCTGATTTTATGTTATTTGCATGGATATTTGTATTATTACGCATTTATTGTATTTATTTTTACTACGTATTTTATAATCTAATAATATTTTATAACTTAGAAAAGAAATTCAACCACTAAAATTCATTAAAAAATACGAAGAAAAATAATATGTGGTCGTGCCATTAAAAAAAAATAAAATATTGTGCAGATGCTCAAAATTAACTGTCACAAAAAAAGTCTAGTCTAATTATTTGAAAATGTGTATAATAATGTTTATTAGTTAGCCAAAAAAGCAGAATTAAAATATATGAAGCCTGCACATAGTTATATTGAGTGTTTCCACTTATCGAGATCACACTGTATATAATATATAGGTGTACCTATAGGCTATATATGTGATTTAGAGTGACTTTTTTACTCACCACTGTCTTATATGGCATTTAAAGCCCACGTGTGTATTACATACGATGTTACACCAAATTGCAGCTTACCGGTGCAAATACTCTATTCTTGACGTTTTTGGGATATTTCGTATTCGTCTGCACTTGACACAGCTTGTCCACCATAGAGTTATACGTGCTATATTCTTTTATTGTCATACAACTTTCATCCCATTCAATATTCTGCGGTTCAATCACAGGTTGATCATTGTTGATCAATGATGTTGTACATAAATCATTATAATAATAAATTGCTATATTATTAATTTTGAGTTTTGAATAAAAAAATACATGAATTAGGTACAGGTACCTATCTAAAATAATTTGTTTTTGTCGTAGGTTAATTATTATAACATTTAGGTGTCATATTATGCAAGTTAAAATCATACTCTTAAATTATATATACCGGAAGTTTCGTCTTTTTTTCAACGTGTTTTATGCTGCTTTCGGTGCTAATCTGTTGGCTGTTGTCAGTCGTTGGCTTGCAGGTAACCGCCTCCTCGATCTGATCGATTGTCTGACTCGAAACACTACCTTGCAAGTCCACTGTTGGGGTGTCCGACTGATATTCTACAACAACTACGTCGTATAACACATTAAGTAGTATACTTAATAAAATATTACTACCCAGCTGATATAGGCACTGGTTCCGGTCTACAATATATTATTATAGTGTCACACGTTCGACATTTAACAGCAATTTTACGAAAATTTAACTACTATTTTAACTACCATTTTTTGGTGGACGCAATACACTAGCTTTAGGTACGTATGTATGAAATACCTATACTCGAAGTACGACTGCTCATCTGTTGGCTTTTGTCAATCGTTGGGTTGTCTGTAACCGTGGACGTCCCTGTTGACTGATCGATTGTCTGACTCGATATATTACTACCCTGCATGTCCACTATTGTAGTGTCCGGCTGAAATTCTACAACAATACCACTTATTATACATATAATATGTAATTATAATAATAGACTACTGGTAGGCACTGCTTCAACATTTACCTTACAGGGAATCGGAGGATAACATTTTATCTTGTAAATGCCTTTTTTGTGAACGCAATATTACACTAGCTTTAAGAATGTATAATGATTTACCAGATGCATCTACTAGATCATGTAAAATTATGTCGTCATGAGGATATAGAAACGTTTTGATGTATTATGCCGTTCGAATAATAGTCATGTGTTCCAAATTGAATAGTATACCTACATATCGATACTCGATAGGTATTAGGTAGTATCCACGACCTTCAAATCTTATATTAATTATATAGACGTGAAAGTATTCAACATTAACATTTTGAATTTAAATTTAAAAAAAAACATTTTATAAGTACGTTAAATACGATAGTCATAAATTATTACTAACAATAGGGTATATTGTGAAATTGTTTTATTATAAAAATCATTAATCGTCCTTTAGATGAAATAATATTTTATAATTTGAACTCCTGCGATACATACATTATGTCATAATATATAAATATTATATTATTATGATATACTACCTAAAGTTTAATGTTTAACCAATTTTGTAGACAATTTTTGTACTTTTGCCTCCCCCCCCCCCCCCGTAAAAAATAAAATGAATCCCTGAATCCGCCACTGATATGTCTTTAAGTATTATAGACTAGGTATATTATATATACATGAAAATCTTATGAATTTTACATACCTTCAACAATTATAGGTGCATCCTCTGGTTGAATTTTAGCTCCATCTTCGCCGACCTCTGTCTTTATCTTGCGCAAATTCAACAACATTCGGTCTCTGCAATCCCACAAGGATTCGGTGTCCTGAACGACTGGTTTCCGCGACTTCTTTATCACATAATCGCCCGATACTTCATCACTGAAGTTACTTGCGTATGACGATTCGGAAGAATTGGTTTGGGTTTGTTTCTTCTTAAATATGTTTAAAAACGACATATTCTGATAACAACAATAATTTAATAATTAAGATTTTTTTTATTTTGATTTATAAATCAATATTTTAACATTTTGTTTCCAAGGTAACCTTTGTCAATTTAATGTTAATTCTTATAATACCTACCGTTAGGTTATTAATGCAATTAATGCAAAATCATATGCTGTAACTACCTACATCTTGTGAGATCGATTTTTTCATGAATAATAGTCCGTTTCATAAAAAATTTAAATGCTTTTTTCTCACGCATGAAATTCAAAAATATTTTTTAGTTTTTCATAAAATTATCTCTCCAGTTTGACATCTTGTAATTTGTTTCAGAATGTGGTCATTCACCTAAAATAAAATAAAATATACCACACACAATAAATGATTATAGGCAATTGTTATTATTATTATTTATTTATATAAAACACCATACAACTATGGGTACAACTGTAGAAGATGTTATAGTGTACCTACTACCTACAATTTACAATCTACATAATAATATATAACATATACGTAATGTATATGTTGTATTTATTTAAAGAACGGTTAAGTTAGAGATAGCATCTAAACTAAAGAATAACATTTATCTATTAAATTATAATATATAATCTATAGTATCTAAATAGGTCATAAAAATATATAAATACCTAAGTATATGGGTTTAACTTATATTCTTATTTCAAAAATTAAAAGATTATATTTATACATAAGTTCATACAGTAATTTAATTTTTATTTTGTTGACAATGGCTGTAACATTTAATGTTATACTGCTACTTTCAAAACAAGCAAATTGTTTAGGTTCATTTCCTTGGATTCCTTTGGTTTTACAAGCCATTTTACAAGAACCCCGCCTTCTTGATGTAACTTGAAAATGTTCATGCAAATAGTTATAGATTTATAAAGATTATTAAATAACTTAATAATCTATACAATTAACTGGGTAATCCGAAATGTGTAGATTTTATTTTGATATGACTCTGCATTCAAGTGTACCTACCTGTATATAGTTTCTCATCTACATCACATATCTAATATATTCACATTTAATTTATTTAAATTTTATTCATAGATCAATATTCTATAAAATGTCCAGCATAATAATATGCTATTACAAATTTTATTTCAACTGAACAAGTCAGCAAACAAAAATAATTAAGTTTGCATCATATTTTTCAAATTATTGAAGTTGTAGGTACTCAGGAGGTTGAAGTTCCTAAGTTGTTGGTGAAATTGTGTAAAAATGTAAAAGCGCATGTCATTCCAAACGACGTGCTTGTTCTAAAGGTAGGTAAATATTATTTATTAATATATAGCATGATGAAATGTATACCAGCGTCCAGCTGTTGTTATAACTCATTGTCCTACTTAAAATCCTTGAAATAAACTAACATCAAAACAATTATTATACTTATGTAAATTTCGTTTTTTTAATTTTTTAAATAAAGATTTTCTTTTAAATAATTTTTTTATTTATATTTAATACGATTTAGCTAAATATTTGCAAATATTGGAATACTTAACAATATTACACTTAAATGTTTAAGATCTTGTATAGTACCTATTAAATGCAACATAAATAATTAATAGTATCTATACATATATATTAGATAAATATTAATAACAATAACTGTGTGCAGTTAAATCTTCTCCTATTTTTTCAGGTTTAGATCCGATGAAAACAAATTTATGGACTTTTTAAATTTTTTGGATACATTAACAGTAGGGTTTGGCCACTGTAATAGTTATTAATTCTAATCACAAATTAATATTTTTATATATTTTTCATATTATTATATATAAAATAAAACTAATAGAGATTTGTAGATTTGAATTTACATAAAATTCACAAAGAAAATAAATTATGTTTATTATTTTGTATGTGTAATGTGTATCAGTATGTCAGTCCCTTAAATTAACTAGGGACTACCAACAAATGGTCCTTTAACAAAATGTCTAAATGTTGTATTTGATGCGTGTGCTGACTTCGTACGCACTCATATTGTACGTTTCAATGTTACATTGTTACTATTATTTATTTTATAGTCATAAAATATTGGTGTGTTTTAAAATATATGTATAGTTTTCATTTTTTAAATATTACCTATACCTACAAAAATTGTTTAAGTACAAAAAAAAACATTATTATGCAGGTACTTTAATATTACTAGTGGTGCTAAAGTCCATGTTAATAGCAGCTGACATATAGATAAACATTTGGCTGGGGAGTGGGTCCATTAGAGAATTTTGCCTATACATAATATTATTTATTTTTTTTTTTTTTATTAATTATCCCGCGGCAACATAGGAAATTGGGAGGGGGGTGGAACAGTAGGTTTTGGAATGGTAGGTGTGTTACACGTGGGTGTATTTTTGGCAGAATTTCGAATGGGGCACCCGTAGGTTTCTGCCATGCCCCGGAGTGAGGGATGGCGGCACTTGTTCTCCGGACACCGTGACTTGCCCGGAGAAAAATGCCACCCACTGGTCGAGAATCGAAACCGCGACCGGCAGCGCCGCAGCCGACGCGTTAGACCGCTCGTCCACCTCGTCCCCCCATAATATTATTATATAATATAAAAGGTTACATTTTGTTTATATTTTGGATTCTGAGTGGAACAATGATGTGCTTTTTTTTTTATTTATTTATTTTTATTTGTGTCTGTGTAGTGTGAACACGATAAATACTCGAAATAATGCTTCGATTTTCAACTTCAGTATCTTGTTCGATTGGAAAGTGAATATCGTTGGTGCATTGGGGAGGTCAAAATTTAAAATTCACAGTAATTTTCAAAAGCGCCAAGAAAAACAAAAGAAAAATTAAGGAAAAACGGGAATTTTTACGCAAAATCGATTTTTCACAAAATTGAATTTGGTTTTTGGTGTAAATTTAAAACAAATAACCGTAAATACATAAAATTTTCACTGGTTATTTATATTTGTATTTTCTATACACGATAACATTTTCAGAATATTTTGATTTATTTTGAACTGTTTAGGGACATTTTCAGTTTCCAATTTTATTAGTTTTTTTTTTTATGAATATCAATAAAAATGTATTTGTTGAGTAAAAAAACTTGAAAATTTAATACAAGGCTCCTACTATATTGTTTCAAAGGCAGATGAAAAATATTAAAAATCGTAAGTCAAAGTTTTTTTTTATAAGCATTTAAAGTTCAAAAATTGACAAAATATGGCAAATCACGAAAATTTGCAAATTATTTCGAGTTAGAAATTCATAAAAATTTTTATTTTTAAATCTAAGATATTAAAATGTAATACAAGATTCCTTATAAGATTTTCTACATTTATCAAAAATAAAATGTCAAATTAAATTTTTATGAGCGTTTGAAATTCAAATTTTTACAACATTGGATATTCGCTCGATTTCTCGTGTAGCGATTTCCTTATTTTGTTGTAATTCAAAAACGAATGACTGTAGATACATGAAAATTTCACTGAATGTTTATATTAGCATTTCCTATACACCATATAATTTTGAAAATATTTTGACTTTTTTTGAGCTGTCGACGGACATTTTCAGTTTTTAATTTTTTTAGTTTTTTTTTTCTATAAATATCAATAAAGTTTTATCTGTTGGGCCAAAAAGTGTAAAAAATTAATACAAGGCTCCTGATATATTGTTACAATATCAGTTGAAAAATATTTAAAATACATCTTCACAACTTTTTTTTATAAGCATTTAAAGATCGAAATTTAACAAAATTTATCAAATTTAAAATTGAATAATTATTTTGTAGTTAAAAATGTATAAAATTAAAACAACATTCCGCGTAAGTAGTTAATTCTGTTACCAAAAAATCTAAAAAATACGTAAGCAAATTTTATTTTTATAGTCATTGTAAGTTCAAATTTGGACGAAATTACATAATAAAAAGCCTAGAATAACTATTTTAGTTATTTTGTCGTGATTGTATAATATAATTCGTGAAACTTCTGAAGTACACTATTATATATCTATCATAGTATATCATCAGGGTTTGTTGTTGATGTATAACGCATTATAAGTACCTAATGGATATTGTGGTATGATTAATTTGGAATTTATTATAGGTACCTATTTTAGGTCAATTCTTTTTAATACCATAGATAAGTATATAATATGTCTTATACCTAAACTGACATACTGTCTCGTGGGTGGTTGTCGGAGATCCTTGCCATACATTTAATTTTGTACTTCAGTGTCTCTGAATATTACTATTGTAGTAACCTGCCGCTGTCACCGTTCGGTTGCTTTACGCTCCTTTAACGACAAATGCACGTACCTACACGTCGTGTATTGGATTGTAAGAGGTTAGAAGTTTGTTAAATGAATATTTGAACACAATATATTAAATATGATAAATATTTATTACATGTTTTAACACAATATAAATAATTAGAATATTAAGTTAGTTATTCAATTTTTCGACAGAATAGAGATATTCAGCCGGATAGTATTATATGCTACACTATAACTGGCAATGTAGGTACTTAATGTGGACGGCGATGCGACAAGTCCTCGACCCACATAAGTACCTACTGGCTACTGTAAGCTTGGGATAACTACTTCTGTCTACTCTTCAACTACTCTGAACTCTGAAGTCCTTTGAGAAAAGGGCCTCTATTTATATGGGATATGCCATGACTAAGGAGAGGATGATTGACGTCATAGGATGTGTGTTAGTCTTAGTGCTGTGTTTAGCACTAATCCGACTCAATGGCAGCATCAGTGGCCTAATTAGGTGGGGCGATATTGTTATAATACTTACAGCCGCTTGGACTTTGGGACGACGTTTTTATGTAAAAACGTCGGATTACTATACTATGATGGTTTAGGTTTCTAAATCTTCATGTTGACATACGAATGGAAACCTAATATATCTATTAATTATCAGAGGCGGATCTGAAGCTTGGTTAAAGGGGGGGCGAATTTCGAATAGGAATATCCATGAGTAATATACAAGTACAATGAGGATGGTCAAACCTGGTGGGTGGAGGGGGTCACCACC